TGCCTGGCTTGACCTCGTCAAAGAGAATGAAGCTTGGGATTTAGTTGATACCAACCGCCTAGAACAACTAGTGCAGGAATTACCCAATCCAAAATATTAATATCCATCCCTGCTCTACTTTTACGGAAATTCAAACCGCAATAAAGCCTTGCGGGCTCTGTTCCCCTACAACAACATTACACGGAAAGGCCCCGCAGGCTTGATCTGTCTCCATCTCAGCACCAAGACCGCCCATACACAGAATCCTATATTGTTTGCTGAAAGCGGTCTATGTCTCGAACAAAGCTTGGGGGATTCCAAGTGGCTAAAGAATTCAACGACAAAGCATCAAACCTTCTCACTAGGGGGTGCAGACGCGACGTTGACCCCTGCAAGGCTACAGCAAGAGGTCAAGAGGCAACTCGTTTTACCATGGACCCAGATCCTGTGTTTATTCCTCGATTCCGTCCCTGACATCCAAGCCGCAACAAACTTATTACAGAGACCACGTCGACAGCTTACAATTGGCGATGAGGTTGTTCCCGCTCCCCTGCAGGTAGTCATCGTCTTGACCAACAGTCAACATGTAACAGAAGCTTTCGCACAGGAATGCGCTCAGCTCCAAAAGCTCGATACTGGGACAGTCACGATTCTGGACCTGCGTCCACGTCACGGGCTTTCAGATAGCGTCGTTTTCCAGCCACTGCAAACATTGATCGTTAAGCAGCTCAGTATAGTCCAGGCCGAGCGAATTTCCAATTGTCGACGCTTCTCGGCGTCTCATCTGAGCGCTTTCTGGAGCACTGGCGTACAAAGCCACGAAAGGCTCCTGCATGCACCACCATTTGATCTTTTGGAAAGAGCCCGAAGGGACTATGTGAGGAACAAAACGATGGACGATTGTCTTCGAGAGGTTATGCAAACATGCATTGGCTACTCAAAGGAGGACTTTGATGACCTTGTAGCCTCGGCCTTCTTGATGGACGCCTATCCCCCTCAAATGCATGGTATGACCATATTTCTTGACCCATACTCTCCTGAACCCAATTAAGAAGCTAACCTGTCCAGGATTCTCGCCTACCGTGGTGTTCGCTGCACTTTATGAGAAGCGATGCCTAAGTATTTGGGACAATGAGTTCAAATACCATATTGCTGGCGTTTCATCCCGCTTCGTACACCACTTTGTGCAATTGAGCGCAGTAAAGACATCGGCAGCCATTCGAAAAGAGACGTTGTGTCGCTTGTATCGCCGGTAGGGTGGGCTTCGCTCTACCACTACTTGTTTGGTCTGTCTGAGTCGACCCCCGGAGCATATGCTCCCGTGTAAACATGCAATATGTGACACTTGTGTCGTGATCTTCGGAAAGCCAAGTCGTCTTGGGGAGTACCATTTCGAGGTTGCTCAATGTCCCATCTGCGAAGAGAGGTCTGACGTCACCGTTCGCCAACTGCCTCCAACGAAGCCCCCTGTGATTCTCACTTTAGATGGTGGTGGAGTGCGCGGCCTGATCCAACTGGGCCTTCTACGGGCTTTAGAAAGTCGCATTGGCATTCCGATCGCATCTTTGCCGGACCTGTGCATTGGAACCAGTGTAGGTACGTACGCCGAGTGGCCGAGTCTTTTATTGTGGTTGATATACTAAGAAACCTCCTCTAGGCGCATTGACGGCAATTGACGTTTTTCTCAATCAATCTTCGGTCACGCAATGTTTCGATGCGTTCCTGTACCTGGCGCGAAACATTTTTTGTCATTCGTCCAAAACCCCAATTCCTCGCTGTATCCGGTGGTTTGCCTCGGCGTTCAACTTGACCACAGATGGTTTTTATAATTCCGAAGGTCTGTCGAAGATTTTGAAAGCAGCCGTTAACCCATCTCGTCGTATGTTCGATGTCGCCACCGCTAATCCTGCGGGATGCCGGATCGCCATTGTAGCAAGCCGCACATCTGATGGTAAAGCCTGCGTGCTAGCTAATTACCGAGGAACAAGTCCACGTTCCACCAATACCGCCTACGAGTTTCTAACTCCACACAACGACCGACAAGACCCTTCCTTACTTGACGCGTAAGTGACCGTTTGCAGCCAGTTGATTTGGACAGTGGTAGTCGACCTTGCTAACAGTTAGCTTTTGATAGGTCGATATGCAGTGGTGCAGCGCCCATATGAGTCCAAACACCATGAGACATTTCAACACGTTGACATTTTCTAGCTACTTCCAACCAAAAGAGTTGCCAGGCCTTTCCCTGCAAGACGGTGGGGTCCGTGCGAACAACCCACTTGCCATTGCTTTGCGAGAGTCGAGCATCATCTGGCCCATGGCGAAACGACACGACCTTCTCCTCTCTGTCGGAACAGGCTTCTCCACATCTCCCCCCGGTCGTCCAACGGGCATACTAGGTCGAATCTGGGAGGGGCCTCTTCCCCGACTGTTCCGGGCTATGATGTGCTCTCCATCTATGGATGGAAAGCAAGGGTTTTTGGAAGCTCTGAATTACCTACCCCATCTGTCGACGCCTGATATTTTCCGACTAGACCAGGCAATCGATGGGACGCTCCCTGGATTAGACGATGTGTGCTCGCTGGAAGCGATGTCGGATATGGATTTTGCAGTTCCAGCCGAGCTTGTGAGGACCATTCTCGCGTCGGCAATGTTTTTCTTTGAGTTGGATGAAACTCCCATCCAGGGCAAGGCTTCATTTCATTGTCGGGGATCTGTTCTTTGTTCAAGACCAAATCCTGCCGAGATCTTGCAGCGGGTGCTTGTCGAGTTCCCCGGCGCCAGATTTAAGTCTGGTCAGGATCTTGATTTAGGAAGCATAGATCTAGTCGACATTTGCCGGTTTTGTGGATACTTCAGGAAGCGTGTTGATTTTCGGGTCACCAGCCTTGACAAAATGGTCACAATTGAAATTGCCAATGATACCTTTCGCGAAAGGATTGGTGGTTTCCCCAAATCGGCGCAGGAATTCCTCGATGAGCAAAAGGCTTACGCCCAGTTCGGTCGCGCAGATCATCAAGATCAAGAATGGCCGCCGCAGAGATCTTGTTACTTCTATCGCGGGTCAAAGCGACTAGTTCACTTCCTGGAGCCTGCTTTGGGGCAGAAAAGGCGGCGGTTATGAGCTGGGAGAAACTGTAGTTTGGCGTTCAAGTCAGTTAATAAGTAGAATACAAAATTTAATTAGGTCTCGACGGGTCACCCAGATGAAATGCAAGACGCACGGAGACTAGGTTTACTCTGGCAATATTAGCAACAATTAGAACCATACAATTATTCTAGATAGGAGTCTGAATTCTAACTGCGGATATCATCTGTCTATACCTTGTAACACGTGGACACACGTTATGGTCGCCCTCGTATGTTGAAAGCTGAAAGCGCGAGTAGGTGGCGGGGCGAAGACAATCGCCGCAAAGTTCGCTCGCTGTCAAAGAACCATGCGACGTCTCCATAATACCACCCCTTAGTATGGCAATATACTTGGCGTCTGGGAAAATTGCTGAAGTTCTCAACAGAGTAACTTGG